ACACACACACACACACACACACACACACACACACACACACACAGGCTTAACGAAGGGGGTAATTACAAACTTAGATTATAAAATCCTTGATTAGAAAATGTCACTTTCTACTCAAGGGATTTCCATTTCCAATCCACTATAACCTATGCTACACTTTGCTACCAAAAACTAACATTTGTTGGTACATCTCTACCCCGATATAACGCTGTCCTCGGGAGCCAAAAAATCTTACTGCATTATAAGTGAAACCGTGTTATATCGAACTTGCTTTGATCTGCCAGAGCGCGCAGTCCCCCCTATTCCCCCCCCCCCGAACGCTGCTTTACCGCGTTATATCAGAATTCGTGTTATATCGGGGTAGAGGTGTATTTAAATATTTTTATTATATTGTGTGATACAAACTTGCCAGGCCTAAATACATGTGTATAAACCTACTGCACCATGCAATTAATATGCTTTATAACATGAAATAATCATTGATTCCAGTTCTAGTAATAAAAATATCTACTACTCTGCCAACATACTACACTGAGTGGACCTCTAGAACTACATAGTTTAATGAGCCCTGGAACTTGATTCCTTTTGAAATCTTTACTGCACATTAATCAACAATACATAAATTCAACAGTAGACACCCAACAGTGTGTTTCCATTACAGAACAAGTCAGGAAGACTAAGTTAATGTTTGATGTGTGATATTGAGTTGGCCAGGAATCATATTGGCTTGTGGTTGTACAGCACCCAGCACAACAGAGCCTGTTCCTGACTGGGCCCTCAAGGAGCTATTGTATTATAAAATTTAATAAGACTGAAGGATTGTATGGCAGTGAGGAACTGGCTGGAACCATTAACTGTAACTTTTTTAAAAGTATGGAATCTTTGTTGTTCCATTTAAAACGAATTAACAAAGACTCAACAGAACTTATGAGACCCATTAAAGTGGGCTTCCTTTGGGTGGGGAGGGAGATATACTTGGCTGGGGTATGGGGGAGAGATGGTCTCTGCTTCACTGGTCCCTTTCACTTCATTTCACACCTTTCATGTCTCCCCAGGCTCCTCTACATACTCTCATCCAAAGCCTCCCGCATTCTGAGACTGGAGAGCACGGTTCTATCATCCCTTGATGGCCCCTAGCTCTCTCCTCTATCTAGTCCTCCTCCCTCTCCCCCACCTCTGTGTCCCCCTCCAGACTCCTGCTGCAGAACATTTTTCTCTGGTCAAGTACCTACCCTTCTGTGTCCTCCCATCTCTGGCTCAGCTCAGCAACTGCAGCAGCACAGTCAGGGGTCAGCAACAACTCAGCTTATATTTATAAGTGTTTAAACATTGCTCTATATACATCTGAAAACAGCTTTGTACAAGTGTAGGCTGGGGCCATATCTCTTGGGTAACAGGAATGGAATAGGAAAAATAAAGATAAAAATAAATCAAATATTGCCACTATAAGGTAAAGGCATCTCTGTGCATATTATTCCTCAGTCTGGCCCAGAAAAAGGAATATAATGGAAAATAAATAAATAAAAGAAGCTTGCTCCAGCTAGTGGAACAGTATTTTACTTATAAAGTCACTTGTAAGCAATCTGGTCCTTCTGTGGAAGCAAACTGGTATCTTCACAGTTCCTGCTTTCTTCCTTTCCTGTAGCTGGACTCAAAGCTACCTGACCTTTTTTCCCTCCTTGGGCTGAGAGGATGGTGAGTGTGCTTCATCTTTCCCACCAGGCCCCTCCTCAGCCTTCCATGGCTACTTTTTTTATATCAGCGCTCTTTAAAATCAGTGGGACTACTTATGTGAATGTTGTTCTTGAGCTTGCTTGCAGAATCCGGTGTGCAGCCAGGATGATGACAAAAGTTGAACATTAAGAATATGTGGTTGACCATGAAGAATACATTAGGTCTGCACACTTCTCAAAGGTTCCATATATTTAACTTTTTTACATATTAATTAAAATTATTGATAGAAATTGGATTATTCTGAGGCTGGAGCCTGAAGAGTAGCATTGAGTAAAGGTTGTGACAGGGAGGGGCATGTGCAAAACCGTGAGAAATGAGACAGCGATGAGATGGAACGGAGAAAGAGGATAGTGAGAGGTTGGATGGGAGGTAGGGTGACCAGAGAGCAAATGTGAAAATCGGGACGGCGGTGGAGGGTAATAGGAGCCTATATAAGAAAAAAAAACCAAAATCGGGATTGTCCCTATAAAATCTGGACATCTGGTTACCCTAATGGGAGCGTACGGGAATGTCAAGTGTATGGATAGGAAAGAGGAACAAGAGGATGAAGGACAGAAGGATATGAGATTGGTAAGATGAATTGTGGGCAGGTGTGAGTGAGTCTGGGCAGTGGAAAAGAGCATTCAAGTTAGGGAAACAGTAAGATGTTAGAGAAGAGTTTTATCACTCATTATAGAAATTCCATCAATGGGACTAGATGTTATGAACTGTTGGTGGTAGGGAAGGTGGTATAGTGTGGGCCAAGATTAGGACCTGGAATGCTGAGTTCTTCCTTCTGGCTCTTTTTGTTGCTTCTGTGACATCTGTACCTTTTAGGACCCCCTAGAAGAGTCCTGGGCTTGGTAGGGAGAGCCTTGTGGGTAGTAGGGTGGCTATTTGTTCCCAAAGTAACTTTGTAGCAATCAAATGAGAGGCAAGAAGGGGTCTTAGTGTGCCTGCTTTTTTTCTTTCATGTCTTCTCTCTGGCAGTCAAGAAAAAGCACTCCTACCAGTAACTTCAACATTTCTTGCTCTGTAGCCTGCATTTCTGAGGGATAGAGTTTCTGGTAGAAGTCTCAGAGCACTTGGCTAATTTTAGCATGTGTAATATATGTTTTCACCACTGTTTTCTAGATGTTAGGGCAGGGATAGTCAATTATTTTTTGTCCAGGTCCAGATTTCTTGGTCAAGGTCCAGACTCCAGAGAAAATTATAATAAGTAAATAAAAAGATTTCCGGGTCCCTTCAAAAGCATCTGGTGGTCCAGATTTGGCCCATGGTCCGCCTATTGACTACCCTGTCCTACAGCCTGCAAAAGCAGGGCTCCACTTCTGCACATCTTAACAGCTGCCAGAGGGAAGGGAATTGAGGAGACCAAGGGGCTTGAAGGGGCCAAAAAGAGGGC